GGCTCTAGCAGTCAATACCTGGCTAAAATAGGCAATGGGCCTACGACTCTGCATTAGCACTGCACCCAGCTTGTATCTGGATGCATCTGTCTCCATAATGAAGGTCTGAGTGAAATCTGATAATGCTAGGACTGACACTACAGTCATCACCTTCTTCAAGCTCTCAAATGCTGATGTGGCTACCTCCCCCCAATAGGAACCCGTCCTTCTTCAACTACTCAACGAGTGGCCATGCTATGGAGCTGTACCCCTTAATGAACCTCCTTTTGGTAATTTGTTTGTCCCAAAAATCCACTCAATTCCTTCAGATTATTCAGCACCGGCCACTTTAGCATGTCCTCAATTTTGAAATGATCTGCTTCCACCCCATCTTTTGATACCACATGGTCTAAGTACTCCAAACTGGCTTGTGCAAAGTAGCATTTCTTTAAATTAGCCCTCAGCTGGTGCTCCTATAATACCTCTAATACTCTTTTCAAATTCTCCCAATTCTCCTCCTCTATCCTACTGTAGACCAAGATGTTGTCAAATAATATCAAAATAAACCATCTAAGATAAGGTTTAAAAACCTTATTCATAACCTAGAAAGTAGCAGGGGCATTGGTGAGGCCAAACGGCTTCACTAGAAACTCATAATGTCCTTCATGAGTTCTAAACACCATCTTGTGTACATCCACCTTATTCATTCGGATATGATGGTAACCTGATTTCAAGTTTATCTTGCTAAAGATCATGGTCCCACTCAATTCATTTAACAGCTCATCAATGACTTGTATAGGAATATTATCAGATATAGTTTCCTTGTTGAGTGCTCTATAGTCCAAAAAAAAAATGCTAGTTGTCATCCTTCTTTTTCACCAACAGAATGGGGCTAGAGAAAGGACTGATGCTAGGTCTGATGATCTCTGCCTCTAGCATCTCCATAACCAACCTTTCTATTTCATCCATATGGAATTGAGGGTAGTGATAAGCTCGTACACTACTAGGCGCCACTCCCTCCTCCAACATGATGGCATGCTCCTGATCCCTCTACGTTGGAAATCCTTGAGGTGGCTGAAACACCTCTTAGAACTACTGAATCAACGGTTGAATGGAGAGGTGTATGTCTCCTCCCTCCTCCAATCTCACTCCCTCCAAACTATTCAGCTCCACCAAATACCCTCCGCTTGCCAACTGAATGTCATGCACCATAGTTTTAAGAGAAACCAGGGATTTGGAAAGCCCCACATCTCCCTTAATCACTACCTTCCTTACATCCACCATCAACTCCATTGTTAATGCTCCCCAATTTTCTTTGGTGTCTCCTAAAGTTTATAACCACTTCATCCACAGGATGTCGTCTGTGTTCCAAAGCTCTAATAGAAGAAAATCTTCCCTCACTTGTATTCCCTGGATCATAAATCGCACTCCTCTGCAAATCCCATGGACTTTCTCCACCTTCCACAAGCCCATCATCACTCCATTACAACCGGTGTCCACCATTCTCACTCCCAGTTGTGAGTAACCCCACTATCAATCAGCACCATAACCTCCCTGTCCACTATCTCTCCCTTTACTTTCATGGTTTGATTCATGGTGAATCCCACCTCTGAGTTTAGGGAAACGTCTGCCAGATCCAAATGTTGCTTCTCCTCCATCTCATCCTCTATCTCCTCCTATCCTCCCTTCTCATTTTCCTCATCTTCATAGACTGTGACAACCTGAAGAGTTGGGTCCTTGCACCTATGCCTTTGCATGTACTTTTAATCACACCTGAAACACAACCCTTTAGCTCTCTTCTCCTGCATCTCTTTCTCGGTAAGCCTTTTGAAATTTCCACCGCTTCCACCTCCTGTCTTCTCCTTGGTCACCTCACAACTCCCTCCAGTTATTAGACCTTTAGGTGCTAGATGAGTTTTCATCATCTTATACATGCCCCCTGTGTTTCTACTCCTGGCTCTCCTCTCAAAATTCCTCTAATTTTCCACCAGTTGGGCCAGAATCATGGCCTCCCCCAAGTCACGGGGCATTAAAACCTTCACAGTTTCTTGAATCTCTGCCTTCAACCTTTTAATGAAATTTTCCTCCAATACAATATCTGAGAGTAGCTCCACCCTGCTAGCTAAGTGCTCAAACTGCTCCCGATAATCTGCTATTGATCCCTTATGTGTCAAAGCAAAGAACTGGTCATTGAAGTCTCCTCCCCGATAAGTTTGGAAATGCTGTATTATGTAGTCTTTCAATTCCCTCCATATCTTGAATGGCCTCCTATGGTCTATCCACTGAAACGATGATAGAGCTTTCCCTTCCAAGCATAATCTCGCTGCTGTCAGCTTCTCCTCTTCTGTCAACCCATTGACGGCGAAGCACCGCTCTACCTTATAAATCCACCCATACACATCTTCTCCTTCAAATATGGGAAACTTCAACTTCCTCACCTTCTGGTCTCCACCATTTCCCCTTATTCTTCCATAATTTCCCCTTTCCCAAGCACTAGGTTCCACCCCATGTTTCCCAATCTTCCCTTGCTCTACCATAGGCCAAACCTTCTTC